CTTTAAGGGCCATCAGTTTCAAAGCAGTAAACATCAGGACAGAGCCCATGCCTTGTAGAAGGAGTGCTTCTTTAAGCCCATGAGAAATTCAAGCTGCTCATCTTAAAGCCACCTCTCCAGGTCCCAGGGCTGATGACAGTCAACACTCCAGATAGACTGGCCGAAGAAAAGAATGTTAGAGATGGAAAGCACACTAGAGGTTCATTAGTCCAATGCTTTCATATTACAGAGGCAGGGAATGAGATCCAGAGAATGGCAGCAACTTATTCAAGGTCACACAGTGATTTAAGTGGCATGACAGGATGAAGAGCTCCAGTCTCCTGACTCCCCGTCCAGTGTTCTCTCCCCTGCACCAGCCAGTGGTGCCGCCTTTTACCTTCACCCTTCTCCCTTCCATCACCTCTGACCCCTAGATAAGGGGAAAGGGAGAAACTTCCTAAAAACAACAAAATTAAAGCCAATTCTGAAACAGCTTTGGCCCTGAGGGTGGGCCCTAGCAGGGGAAGTGCTCTGACCCAGGGAACTTCATAAAGAGGCCAAGAAACAGGTAGAGGAGCAGCCTCAAGACATAAAATCATCTCCCGCTCCTCCAGCCTTCAGCTGTCCCCAAACTGTCACTCCTCATGGCTTCCCTGTCACAGATCTCCTGACAGCTTAGTCAATAGTTACTCCATTTTTATTTTCACATGACATTACTCCCCTTCCCTTGACTGATGGCTGACTCCACAGTCTTGGGCAGTTCTGGGAGCTGCAGGGCTTGTCAGGAGTCAGGTCTAAGGCTAAGTAAGTGGGTCAACAAATCTTAGAAACCCAGAACAGAATGCATAATTGGGCGCGTTTTAATTTGCTTCCTTTTTAAAAAGCAAATCTTTTATGAAATTGAACACTATAAAATTATAATGACCAAGCTTGGCCCCAGAGAAGTTAAGAAAAATGCTTCCTTCCTCCTTTCTTTGTAGAGGTGGGAGACTATGGGTGTAGAACATCACATACGCTGTCAGACGTGGTTGACGTGTTGTTTGGTTGTATGGAACTGCTTTTTTTCTTCTTAGACTTTGTTATGAGGGGGTGGCTCACTGGGTAGGGGTGCGGGGAATGATAGATTTGAAAGTAATAGTGATGTAAAATCAAAATTGATAAAAATAAGATTAAACAAAATACAAATAAATAAATCTGTTGATTTTTTTTAAACAACACTATTGCTTTCCAATGGCCCTACCCTATCCCCCAACAGAAAGAAGTACAGCAAATCAAAATGAATCAACAGGGAATACTGGCTATATTTACCAATATCCATACCTATCAGAGCACATGTGTCTCTGTGGAGATGGAGGCATGAGCCACCATCAGGTCTCTGAGGTCATGATTGGTCTGTGGGGCTCAGAGTTCTGAGGTCTTTCCCATTTGTTTCCCTTTACACTATCAGGGTCACTATGTAAATTCTTCTCCTAGTTCTACTTACTTTGCTTGGCATGAGTTCATAACAGTCTTTACAAGATTCCCTGAAATCTCCATATTTGCCATTTTTATAATACAATGCTCCTTTAATAAAAAACATATTCTGCAGTTTGTTTAGGCATTTTCTACTTTACGAGCAGCTGCTTTCTTTCTACTTTTTATTGCCACAAAAAGTGCTACTATAAATATGTGTGGGTATATATTTAAAATATGTTATATATCATTACATATTTATGTATAGGTAGATAAATAGATGGATGGATGGATACATAGCTATAGATAGTTAGGGAGGCAGATAGGGAGAGAGAGAGATAACCAGATAGATAGACATATAGAGAGATGGATGGATAGGTGGATGGATGGGTGGGTGGATGGATGGATGGATGGATGGATAGACAGGACCTTTCCCTATGTCTTTGACCCACTTGGAACATTGTTTCTTTTCCAAACATTACTTCTATTTTCTCTCTCTCTTTTTTTTTTTTTGGTGAAGCATGAAAGCCTCAGGGGCAGTGCTGTATAGAGGAAAGAGGGCTGAACTTTGGCTCAGAAGAGACTTGGATTCCAATCCTGGCTCTGCCGTTTACTACCTATATGATTTCAGGGAAGTCATAATTCTTAAGGGTCTCATTTTTCTCATCTGTAAAATGAGTTATTTAGACTAGATGACCTTTGAGGTACTTTCCAGCCCTTGAATTACAATCTAATTGTGGCTTCCTGGAGTCTCACTGTGGTTCTGGCCTGTTTGAGTGTTCCCATTTTTTTTTTAAGACAAATTTTTTTTCAATGATCAAGAATTTTTTTCCTATCTCTCACCTTTCCCCACCCACCGAAAAGCAAGAAAGAAATATAGAGCCCCTGTATCACATAAGCACATTCAAGCATCACAAATTCCCAACCTGGCCACATCCCAAAGTACACTTGTCATTCTGAAAGCTCCCTCTGTCAGTCCTCTGGAATCATGGTTAATCATCTAGTTGATCAGTGTTCTTAAGCCTTTGTTGGCACAGTAAGTGGATAGCGGCACAAACGACAGAGTGCTGGGCCTGGAGTCAGGAAAATCTGCATTCAAATCTGGTCTCGGACACTTACTAGCTGTGCGACCCTGGGCAAGTCATGACCTCTGCCTGCCTCAATTTTCTCATCTGGAAATGGAAATAATAACAGCACCTACCTCCTAGGATTGCATAGTGTCTGGAACATAGTAAGCACTATGTAAATGTTAGCTATCATCATCATCATCATTATGATTATGATTATGATTTTTATATATTGTTCTCCTGGCTCTGCTCACTTTACTTTGCATCACTTCATACATCTCCCCATATTTCCTTGAAACTATCCTCCTTCCACATTTCTTACAGCACAACAGCATTCTATCCCCTTCATATAATTTGTTTAGCCATTTCTCAATTGATAAAAACCCCTTTAAATTTCTAAATCTTTGCCATCGTGAAAAGAGTTGCAATAAATACTTTTGTACATGAGTCTTTTTCTTCTTCCTTTGATCTCTTTTGAGCATAATTCCAAATCTCTTTTCAGAATGATCAGACCAGTTCACATCTCTTGACCCAGTTCACAAGCCCCGGATGCTACAGCGTGGCCTTTGTGGCTTCAGTGGCTAAAAAATCCATCACCTTTTAGCCAAACTTCTGGGGTCAAGGCTCCCTGAACTTAGCTGAATTAGTCCTCAGCCAACACACAGTCTGTCACTGGCCCATACATGAAGTTTCCTTCCCCACTCTACTAGGGCCTGCCAGGGCTTTCAGGGTTATAGGCTCTTAAATCCCTCTATGCCTTTTCACTAGATTGAATCGTATAATCATCATGCCAGAAGGGACCATCAACCTCAGTCCAGCCACAAAATTTCCAGACAAGAATCTATACAAATAACAGTCAACAAGTACTTTCTGTACTAGACACTGACAGAGATAAAGGAAGGCCCAGTCCCTGCCCTCAAGGATTATGTAATCTAATTAAATAGATAAGACAAATGGACTAAGAGCCGTAACATAATAATGGAATAAAATACCAACTCCTCAGACTTAAATGCCCTTTGATTTGTTTTTTCAGACAAACAAATGTGTATATACACCTTCCCAAACTTGTACTTGAGAAGTTGAGTTTTGTGTGCCCAAATATAAGATTCTACATTTACCCATATTTCATTTCATCTTATTAAAGTTAGCCTGATGTTCTAGCTTGTCGAGTTGTTCTTGGATCCTGGACTCAGTCACACAATGTGTTAAATAAAACTCTGAGTTTAGGGTCATAGGACAACTTGGTGACTGTGTCCATTACTAACAATGTTCAACGGTATGGGGACCACCGCAGATTCCTGGGACACTCCACGAGCAACCTCCTGCCACACTGACAGTGAACCATTAACAAGTACTCTCTGAGTCCATTCATCCAACCAGCTCTGAATCCCCCTAATTATATGATCACCTAGTCCACTAGTGTCAAGCTCAGCTACTGACCTAGAAAACCACAAATAAGCATCATCTGTGTTGTACTGTATTTTTCTTTATTTTGTTAAACATTTCCCAATGACATTTTAATCTGGCTCTGGGGAAGTCAAGCTGCCAATTGCCAATGCCCAGAGTTGGACACCTCTGATCCAATCCACATCTCTCCTCCTTCCCCACAAGAAGTGAGATACTTCATCAAAAAGTATGAAATACTTCATCAGCTACTTCCTAAAATCTAGATAAATTACACTCACAGCATTACCCTCTTCTACCAACTTAGTGGGAATAGAGCCTGGCCTTTTGATTTCAGGGGATTCCAAGGTGACTTTTAGTCTTGGAGAGTGGGCTGGGGCACTGAGAGGTTAGAAGACTCATCCAGGGTCACACGGCCAACATGTGTCAGAGTCTTCCAGGCTCTGAGGGCAGTTCTCTTACACTACCCTATGTGGCCTCTCCCCGTTTAGCAGCCCTCTCCAAAAAGGAAATAAGCTTTTTCTAGCACGGCCTGTTTTGATGAAGTAGCGATAGCTCTGTATAGTCACTGCTGTCTTTTCTACATGTTCACCAGTCAGCTTTTTAGTGATCCACTCTAAAATTTTCCCAGCAATGGAAGTTAAGCTTCCTGGTCTAGAGGGGTCAGGCATTCTTGGCTGGCAACACTGTGTGTTGGCAGTAAGGAAAGCGGAGTGCCAAGTTGAGTTAATGGAGGATTTTGGAGAACTCTAAGATGGGTGCCCTGTACCAGGAAAGGGCTGAGAGAATTTTTGTCAGTGACCTCTCCTAGGGCATCCCAGTCTCAAAGCCTGATTTTGTCAGGCATGAGAAGCTCCAAGGATGAAGTGATGAGGAGAAAACAAAACAAAACACCTCATTGAGCTCCAAATCTGAGATCCTAAAGTCACCAGGCCCAGATTGTCCTGGGAGAGCCCACATTCTTAAGATGTCTGTCAAGTGAAGTTGATTGGGTTCTATGCAGAAATAAAAAAAGATACCCCAGGCAAGGAGGGACAGCTGGACCCTGAAGGATGCCCCTGCCCACCCCCTGCCAAGCTTTATCAAAGAGAAGCTCACCAATGTTGGAATGCTTCAGGAGACGGCAGATCCGGGCTTCTCTCTCCAGCTTCTGGTGATCTGAAGACAAAAAACAGAGAAAGAGGCATCACCGTGAATCCAAAGGATATGACTATTAATGGAAGCAATTAAACTTTTCTAGGCAAAGCCATAACTAGGCTGGAACAAGAAGGGCTTCTTCCACTGGGGAAAGAAGGGGCCCTTCCTCTTCAGGGCAACTGCCATCCCTGCTCTTTACCTCATAATCCTCTGCTGGTCTTGAGCAGCAATTGCTCCCAGGTCACCACCCCCAGGGGGTAACACCGCCTTGGAACTCCTCTCCAAGGGCTGGTGTTCCCCTACAGTCCACACCTCAGCACATACTACTACCCCCCTTCTCCTGGCACAATCATCTCTGTGATGGGGCTGGCCTCCTTACCATTGTGCCCTGCCCTCCCTCCCATTCCTACTTGACTGAATTCATCCCTGATGTGTTTGGGCTAGTCAAGACCGTTTCCAGGACTCTTCTTATGCATCTACTACTTTTCTACTGTTCATCAGTCAACTTGTGTGGAATGGAGGAGAACATGGAAACCTGAATGCATTCATAGTCAACTTCTGGGTGGGTATGTGTACTCCCGAAAGAATAGCATGAAGGATCCCAAAGTATTTAGCTTTGTAAAGTGTTCTATGATCTTTTGGCAACACACAGAGTCAAAAGGATTGGATTCTAGTCCCTGCTCTTCTAAACTTATGGCATGTGAATTTGGTCTGGAAGGAAGCCAAGGATTCTAAGAGGCAGAGGTGAAGAAGGACCTTCAGGAATAGGGGACAGTCATTGTGAAGACATGGAGATGGGAGATGGAGTGGAAATTTTGGTAAAGAATAAACAGCTGGTCAGAAGGAAGAGTTTGTTTAGGGGAGTACTGTGTGTTAAAACCTGTAAAGAAAGGCTAATAGCTAGATGGGGAAGAGGCTTTAAATGCCAGGCTGAGTGGTAGAGAAACCACAGACCAGTCAATCCATCTGTCTGAGCCTTATGTAATTCTCCAAGATGTAAGTAATAGATGGGCCATGCATGATCTGTGCCAGTGGAGAGAGCTCTCATAAAACTACAGGTTCTTGACATTAATACAAGAAAAAAATGAGGTTCAGAAAGATTAACTGACTTGCTCATAGTCATACAACTCTTAAGTATCAGAGGCAGGATTCAAATCCAGAGCTCTCCTTTTGGGTGAAGGTGAACAAGGTGTCCAGGGGTGAGAACCTTGCTCTGGATGCTCTGGATCCTGCAAATGGACAACCCACAGGTGATCATCCAGAGATGATGCCATTTATTTATCCATTCACTTTTCCTCATTTAAATCTTTTGCAAAAATCAAATTAAGTCCCTCAACTGTGAGATGTGATGGGAGTAATTTTATCTGTAACAATCCCTTATGACTCTGACACTCGGGCTGGATGCGGCCTCCACACTATTCGCACAGTAGTTCCAGAAAGAAATTGAGAGGTCCTCTAGTCCAACCCTCTCATGCTAAAGATGGGAGTACTATGCCCCAGACAAGGGATTTATCTGCCCAAGGACACACAGCTAATTGGGAAAGTAGGACATCAACCCAATCCAACAAACAGATATAACGCACTTACTATGTACAAGGAACTAGGGAAATGAAAACAAAAGGAAAACCAGCCCCTGCCTTCTGGGAGGCTACATTCTCTGGGAGGGATATAGCATATGAATAGGTACACATGTTAATTCTAGGAGGGAGGCCACAGGCACAAGGAAGAGCATCAGGAAAGACGTTGGAGAGAAGATGGGTACCTGAGTGAAGCCTTGTAGGAAACTAAGTCAATCAGTGACTTAACATTTATTAAGTGCTTCCTATGAGCCAGGCGCTGTGCTAAGCTCTGGGGAGACAATGCCAAAAGCACAGTCCTTGCCCTCCAGGAGCTCACATTCTAATGGAGGAGACAATATGTAGATAACTATGTACATACAAGATACATATATGTAGATATACAGAGTGAATGGAAAGAAATGTCAAAAGAGGAGAGGGAAGTGACCAGAAAAGACCTCCCACGGAAGGCAGGAAGTGAGCTGAGTCATTAGGGAAGCCAGGAGGCAGAAGGGGAAAAACATTCCAGAAATGGAAGACAACCATTGCAAAGACATGAAGTCAGGAGGCAGGGTACTGTCTTTGACCAGCAGCAAGAAGGCCAGTGTAGCCAGCTCACCTGTGGAGGGGAGTAAAGTGTTAAGAAGACTAGAAAGGTAGGAAGAGCTACAAAAGCCAAATGCAGATTTAATATTTGATTCTGGAGGTAATAGGGAGGCATTGGAATTGGGATGTTATCAAGGAAGGAGATGGTGTGGTCAGATCTGTGCTTTTGGAAAATCATTTTGGCAGTTGAAAGAGGACAAACGCGATTGTGGAAACTTGAGGCAAGAGACCAATGAAGAGGTAACAAGGCCTGTGCAAGGGTAGGAGCCCTAGAAAGGGCATCTTCTCAGGAACAATAACGAATTCTGGTGCTGAGTTTGAGATGCCTGCAGGACATACAACTCAAAATATCCAAAAGGCAGTTGGTACAGAACTATAGCTCAAGAAAGAGATTAGGGCTGGAAATAGAAATCTGGGAAACATCATTGTAGAAAGAGATAATAAATGAAACCAGAGAAGCTGATGATATCATCAAGAGAGGCAGTGTAGACACAGAAGAGAGAAGTGGGCCAGGACAGACCCTTCAGAGACACCCGCTTGTGTGGCCTCCACCAAAGGAGACTGAGGAGACATCAAAACAGGTAGGAGAAAGACCAGGATGAAGACAGCAGAATCACAAAAACCTAGAGTATCCAAGAGGAAGGAGATGTGATCAAGTGTCAAAGGTTAAAGAAAGGTCAAAAAAAGGATGGGGATTGGAAACAAAGGTCATTAGACATGATAATTAAAAGAAAATTGTGGCAGAGATGAGGGAATACATTTTAAGCAAGGTGGATAGCCTGTTCAAAGATAACAGAGGTGAGAGATGAAGAATCACGTTCAAGGACTAACCCAACTGGCTCATGTGGCCAGAAAAGTAGACTGCATGAAGGGGAAATGAAATAAATCTGGCAAAGCCCTTTCACGTTACTCAAACGGAAGTGTCTCCTGACATCCCGTTCCGTTGCACTACAGGAGGACCACGCTATATGGGTCCTTAGCCACCTGCGGTGCCACTGCTTGTGGGGACAGTAGCTGCCCCATGGCCTAGCCAAACCTTTGCACTAGCAGGCTATATTCTTGAGCTTCCACAAGATGGGCATCCTGCTCTCAGAAGGAGGAAAACCAAATCCGAAAGAAGTGGGAACTTGCCCAGGGCAAGAGAGCAAATCAGCAGTTTAGCTAGAAATAAACCCCAGGAGTCTTGAAGACAGACGCCCACTCACGCTGCTTGCTGCCTGGTACATGGAAACTCATCTGCCTAACTCTCTATACAAAGCCATCCTCCAAACAGAAGGTGCTGCAAAAAAAAAGATGGAACCCCACCGTCCTCTAGGGCCAAACCCGCATCCTGTCACATGGAGAGTCCTGACTTTTCCTTCTCTTCTCACACGCCAGCCACAAATGCCCTGGATTTTGGAGGCGCTATTCAGTCTGAGCCAGTTCCCAAAAAGGAAAGTGCCAACCTGCTACAGGCTCTGTGTCCTATGAGAGCCCTGCCATCATCAAGGAATCACACAAGAATCCCAGCTTCAATCACTACCCCATGACCACCAAATTTCTATATCCAGCATTTCCTTAATGCTGCATTCATCAATGTAAAACCAGCAAGGAATTAAGGGTTGAATAAAAGGATGGGATGCCAATTGCAGCGTCCCACAGTCTCCAGGATATACTCGAATGGATCTCGTCTTATGCATTCAGAAGTTCCCTTCCCAGCGCGTCGTGTAGCCCATCCTGTGCCACTCTCGTCCACGTCTTTCCATGGTTACACCGCAGGGTGCTGGCCAACGTGCTGGGGACCTTCCTTACTTCATTCTGAAATCCCCAGGACAGAAGTAGAGCACTCTGGCTGTCCACACAGGATACCCTGCCACTGTGACCAGCCCCACTTCTCTTTCTATCACACACTTCCTCGATGACAGCTGTTACTATGATAATACTATTAACAACAGCAGCAGCAACAACGAATAACTGTTCTTTACAACAGTGCCTTAAAGACTGAAGAGAATTTTACAAATATTACCTCAAACACAAACTCATCAATAAGGCATTCAAAGCCCTCTACGATCTGGTTCCAATCTTCCTCTTCAGCTTTACTTCCTCTTCCCTTCATGTCCTCCATTCTAGCCAAACTGGTCTACTAACCATTTCCTGATCTAGAAACTCTGTCTCCCACCCCCACAGATTTGCACAAGCCATATCCCATGCCTGGAATGTACTTCCTCCTCTCTACCTCTCAGAATCCTTCAAGGTTCAGATCAGATGCCACCTCCTCTGTGAAGCTTTCCCTGATTGCCTCCCTCCCAAGTTGTGCTGTCTCCCTCCTCAATCTTCCTCGTGCTATTTTTATTTGTGTACATGTTGTCTCCTTCCAGTACCAGGGTCCAGGGGTAGATCTCAAGGGTTTCATGAATGTGCATGGGGAAAAAAATTACATCTTCATTTTCATTCAAATGCAACCAAAATTTAGCATTTCCTTCAATTATGACTTAAAAAAAAACATGATTCTGAGAGAGTCCATAGGTATCACCAGACTGCCAAAAAGGATCCATTCCATGAAAAAGGTTAAGGACCCCTGCCCTGGTAAAATGTGAGCACCTTGGGTGACAGAGGGGACTGTTGGGTTTTTGTCGCTGTAGATTCAGAACAGAGGCAGACTGGCACATATATTGATAATGAGCCATCCTTCCCCTCTCAGCGTCTACAGCCACTCTCACAAACTCTTAGGGTGCCCAGCAGTCTCTAGTTGGCATATTATTAGAGGGTGATTTCTCTTGGGAGCTCCCCATTTTTAAAAAATTCCAAGTCCTCAGCACAGTGCCTTCCTAACGATGAAATGTTTGTTCAACAAAACGTTGTTTGTGGAATTGTGTCTCT